ACTGAAGATCTTCTGAAGCCTCTCCAAGATGCACATTTAAGACACAAATTAATTAAAAAGTACGTAAATGGTATCTTTACTATATTAGCAAGTTCTGTAGACAGATTATATTACATCAGGTGTTGTGTTAAAACACTTCATCTTGGTTTACAGAAAACAACATTTTCAAAAGGGGTTTAAAAACCCTGAGGTTTGGTGATGTTCTGTGGATCACTTTGCCATCACTTGGGTTGGGTTAGGGTTAAATTTAGACGGTACAGCAGGACATTAGAAATGTCTGAGTGAACAGTGATCGCTTCACACACAGATTTCAGGTGATGCTCTGTTTAAAAACAGCCCTCTTCCTAGTCAACGGTTCACTGGAAAAAGCCATAGTTTTTACTGTTTACTTAAGTATGAAATCAGTAGTAATGTACAAAACTATAGAACGTTTTTCCTGCTGTTACATTTCAGAACTAAACACTTCACCCAAATGACATCTAAAATATCGTTATACTGTGTAAATGGATGTGATTATTTTACAGTAACTGAACTTAATAGTACAGAACAGTAAACATGTATTTACTCACATAAACACAGAACTGTGCGGTCATTTCTGGGTGGGTTCTTTAGAGCTGCTCTGGTGGGTGAAACATCCTACAGAAAGTAAACATCGCAGGCACCACTTAAGGTGGAACAATATTTAAGGTGGAATGGACAATTTCACATAAAAGCTTGTAACTGCTGATCATTTAAGGTGGAACAGAAAACAAACAGGAATGAAACTTCAGCCTCGTACGAAGAGTAAAGCGTTTTGGCGGGAATACAGATGTTCACTTCCTGTAAGACGTTCCACCCATTAGCTCAGCGAAGGAGAGACGGAGTTAAACTACCGTCGAGTCTCTTTAGTTCTCCGCTCTTCCTCAGCGCTTCTACAAACGGAGGCTGATCTCGGACTGTGGGGAATTAAATAACCACGCGCGCGCACAGATTAAGGCCTTAAGGCGCACGCAGTCACCCTGATTTTCCCGCGTGCCGCTTCAGCGTCGCAAACCGCGCCAAAATGACCAGATGAAAAAAACAAGCGCCGATCTGAATCTGGACTTCTTACTTCAGATTCCCTCCACCTTAAACAGGGCAGCTGGTACAGTCCGCCGCCTCGGGCCCGTTTGAGGAGACACAGTTTAACTGCTGCATCATTGAAGGTGGACCTGAACATTTAATTGAGAAGCCTGAGGCGCGAAGCTGTGACTGCTGACCATTTAAGGTGGAACGGATAATTCAAAAACGATTTTAACTCAAGCCTCGTAAGAAGAGTGAACCGTTTTCGCGGGAAACTCAGGGTGAAGCTCTAAGGCTTTAATCTGTGCGCGGTCGAGTTTAGTTTAGTGATGAATTCTTTCCCACAGACGACAGACATGAATCTCCGTTTGTAGAAGCGCAGAATTAAAGCACTTCACAGTAGTTTAACCCTCCCTCCTGACTGTTCTGCTGAAGATCACAGCTCGGTTCTGCACTGATGTCGTTCAGAGAACCCGACAGACTTCAAGTGGAGGTGAGTGAGTTACAGAGAGCAGCAGCGCAGGTCTTACCTACTGACCGTCCAACACAAATGAGCGGAGCTCCGTCCACAGCTGTATATGTACCGTTTACAGCTTCCCATAGTGCAACACTACTGTACCACGTGTTCTGTTAAAACGTTATTTTGTTTAAATGTAATATTGTATTGTATGTAATACTTTAGTTTTTTGAGGGGTGCTGCTTGTTTTTTGTTTCTTATTTGTTTATATTAAAACAGTTTCTGCTGCTTAAAAAATAAAAAATAAAAACATTTCTTTTGAAGCTGTGCTTCGTGGAAAGTTGTAATATATAAACTTCGAGGCGTCAAAGCTTTCTTTACATCCAAAGGACTGCAGGTCTCTGATGCTGCAGTTAAGGTCAGTGTTCATGACTCTGCTGGAAGAAGGAGGGTGGGTATCAGTGACATTCATGGAAGAGCAGCAAGGCAGAAACCGCTGCTAAGCAAAAATCACCATCCGTCTCACATTTACAGCACAAATAAATAACTGAATAAACAAGAAGACATGGAGAAGTTCTGTTCTGTATCAGAGAATTCTTAGAGAGTATCAGCTCATCTGTCCATGAGCTGAAGCTGAAAGGACATAAAGGTTTTGGAGTGGCCTGGTCAAAACTCTAACTTGAGCCCAGCAGAGATGCTGTGTCAGGGCCTCAAACAGGTGGTTCATGCTTGAAAAGTCTGTCTCAGTTAAAGCAGCCCTGCACAGAAGAGTGTGCTCAACTTTCCTGATAAAAATTAGAGGAAGGTTGTTTGCAGTTATTGTTGCTAAAGGCCTTGAAGCAAGTTATCAGATTTAAAAGGCATTTTCTTTTTCACATGGGTGATTCACATGGTGGATGACTTTGGTTCTAAAATAAATGAAATCATTTGTAAAAATCTTTTTTTTTTCTGTTTCAAAAGGTTCCCTTTGTCTAATATTACATACAAATACATAGGAATAGTGACAATCAGGATGGGGCAAGTAGCTTTTTACAGCCCTGTAGCAGCTGTGGAGCAAAAGCAAACCGGATGAGGGGATGGAAAAGAACGAGAAGCAAAAGAAAAACTGTTTTTCTGTTGAAAACCTGCACAACACCCAGGTGGGAGTGAGCTGTGTGTTTCTCTGGAACACGTTCCTCAGTTATAGGTACTCATGGATGAGATGATACAGACCACAGTAAAGCTGTCAGTTACAACACAGCTGAAACAGTGAGGAGGAGCACAAACAGAAACAATGCAGTGATGTACAAATCATTAAAACCTGTATTTAACTGAAAATAAGACAAAGACAACATATCAAATGTTGTCATCTCATTGTTAATTAGATCAATTAGCAACAGGTCAGTAACATGATTGGTAAAAAGGGGAATCTCAGAGAGTCTTTCAGAAGTAAAGATGAGGAGGGGTTCACCACTCTGTGAAAGACTGTTCAGGCAAATAGTGAAAAAATGCAAAACTAATGTTTCTCACAGTAAAATAGCAAAGAACTTTGGGATTTCATCATCTACTGTACCCAATATCAGTGAAAGATCCAGAGAATCCAGAGAAATCTCTGTGTGTAGGGACAAGGCTGAACACCAATATTGTCTGACCGTGAACTTCAGCCCTCAGAAGTCTTGGCTTCTTTTCTAAATGGAAGGGGCAATAAATGCTTAACCACCAGCTTTAGGATCCTACATCATCATTTGGCCTTCAATTTTGATACCTCTAAGAAATGTTTTTGAACATATGTTGAGTTGTTGGTGGGGGGGTTATGAGGGGTCATGGAGCAGTCACAGCTCCAGAAGAGTTTCACAAACAGAGAGGAAGACCCCAGGGTTAGACGATATTCCTCCTGATCTATATCTAGCTTTATGGGAGCCGGTGGGGCCTTTGATACAAAACTTTTTTGTCTCTGCAACAGGAAACAGATCTTTTCATGGGGATCTGAACACATCATTGATATCTCTGCTTTAAAAAAGGGAAAGATCCACTAGAATGCAGCAGCCACAGGCCTTATTCGCTGATTTGCAGTGACATAAAATTATGTGCAAATCAATTAAATAATAATTAAATTAATTGTAATTATTTTACATTATTAAATTAAATTATAAAATAATTACAAATATTAACTGGATTTTTAATTAATTCACAATTATTCCTTCATTCAATGTGTTTCAGAAAATTCAACATTTCTGTGTTGCATTCGTTTATTTAAATTAATCTAAATCATCTTAAGAATAACATTATTTAGATTAATCTTAAATTAATCTAAATAATCTAAAACCTCATTGTGTTTAAAGAAACTGAATTTTATAAGTGAGACTTTAAGAGTCAAAGAATCTTTTTCTCAGTAAAAGTTGGACTGAATCAGAAATATGAAGATGTGCTGGACCTTTAAAGAGCACTGAGTTAATGATGTCATTATTATTATTATTATTATTATTATTATTATTCTCTGTTTCTTATATTTCTCTCTGATATACACAAATCTAAATATAAAGATATGGATAAATATAAACTATTTTAATTCTCTGAAATTAATGGTATAATAATCTGTTTGAGGTTCTCTGTATTTTTACAGATATTTACATATTTACACTTTTCCAGATCAGTTTCTAATATTAAAAACTGATCTTATTATTCATAATTAACACTTAAAGAGGAAGTTTTTCAGAGGTGGTGATAGGAACCAGGCGTCCTCCTGAAACGCTGCCGGTTGTCGGACACACAGCTGGTCTAAAATGTATTGAAGTCCGTTCATAGAGAATCTCGGGAACAATCAGCCTATTAAAATGTACTCAGAGCGGGGGAAACTACGGCATGACAGCGGGGACAAAACGCAAAGCTGAACAGCAGGAGGCGTCATTATCTCCACTCTGGCGCCACCTACTGGATATTCAGGGAACAACAGCTTTTCTGATAAACTAACAGTGTTTCTCATTCTGAGCTGATCAGAATGAGGCTGACTCTGACTCTGATTACTGATGGAGTCTAACAGAGTCAGTCACAGCGCTCCTCCGCCATGGTGTGTGTTTCTTAGCTGTACATGGCAGGAGGAGCTGATCTGGATGTTTCTGCTGGGTTAAAGTAAAAGTGTTTCCCTTAAAAACACATCTGGATAACCATATAGACCATCAGTCTGTATCACACCAGCAACAGATCAGTGATGATACGCTGGAGTCAGACAGTAAAGCAGCGATTATTATGAACGACATTATTAATCAGACAGAAATCTGCTATTTATTTATTTATTTATGTATGTATGTATGTATGTATGTATGTATGATAAAATAACTCAACACTCAGATAAACAGGGCATCATTGAGATTCAGTGAACTACATTATTTTAATCCCACTAAACGTTAATCAATCATACTGATCAATAATTTCTGTGCTGCTCGTGGCTGATTGGATGAACACACGCGGCCCTACAAACGTGTTTTGAACCTTTTCTTTTTCCGTAGTTCAGAGCTGTTCGGCGTTGGTTGGTGCGCGCGCCCAGGTGAGCAGGAGCTGAACCGGATCAAAGCGGTTTAAAGTTTCAGTCTGATTCAGAGAAACTAGACTCACCTGATCTCAGCTACGAGTCCATGAAGAGTCAGTGATCCACCATGAAGATCCAGAGAGGAGGACGGTTCTACTGAGGTAGAGAGAGTTTACAGTATGAATGGTGCAGTGAAGTGTTCCTCACTTCTAGACTCACCTGATTAACCTCAGCAGGTAGAGCAGAGTAACCTGAGCAGAGCTGTGGTTCTACAGAACATGGAGAGAGGAGCTTCGGTTCCACACCTGGAACTCCTTTCATCTAGATAACATCAGACCTCAGTAACATTATTGATAATGATTATCACGATTATAGAGGTGATCAGTTCTACTGTCTCTTTATACTGAGATTCTATCAGTAAATACAGTTTATTAATAATGAACTGAGAGATCAGAGAGAGACAGTAACATTATTGATAATGATTATCAGGATTATAGAGGTGATCAGTTCTACTGTCTCTTTATACTGAGATTCTATCAGTAAATACAGTTTATTAATAATGAACTGAGAGATCAGAGAGAGACAGTAACATTATTGATAATGATTATCAGGATTATAGAGGTGATCAGTTCTACTGTCTGTTTATACTGAGATTCTATCAGTAAATACAGTTTATTAATAATGAACTGAGAGATCAGAGAGAGACAGTAACATTATTGATAATGATTATCAGGATTATAGAGGTGATCAGTTCTACTATCTGTTTAAACTGAGATTCTATCAGTAAATACAGTTTATTAAAAGCTCAGTTCATCAGTCTCTGAGTGTTTCTTACTCTTATATGAAGATCCTGAAGTTGCCATAACAGGATTAGTCCTGTGTAACTAAAGAGAACCTAACTGTAGCCTAATGGAGAGTCTGAGTCTGTATTAGCTGTGAGTAGAGTGGTCATCTGTACATGGCTGAACTACAGCAGCTCAGAGTGATGGACCATTTACTGAGAGATCAGACTACTGTTCCACTCCAACACCGTCCACCTGAGAATGACCACACAGTTCTGGATCAATATTACACAAAGATATTTTATTATTATGGTGATCAGATGAAGCTGAAATATGAGGTTTATGCCTCCACAACATCATTGTTTATTCAACACTCTGTTTCCATCACCCTGTATCACAACTCATCTGTGTTAATAGACTTTGTTCACCTCAGTTTAACATAAAATCGTCTTTTATAACATTTAAGTGTTTTTGTTTGGCTTTTTTTATTGACATTTTCTAATGTCCAATCTCAGAATTTCTGTACAAAGTGATAAAACCCTCTAGGGTGCAGTTCTGTGTGATGAACAGTATGAGCTCTACACAAAATTCACTGCAAATTTGTATCATACAGTGACTGATTATGATAAATAAAGGGTGTGGAGCACCAAAAGATGTGATTGTGTCAGTCGATTCCTGTGTCTACTTGAACTTCCTCTGTAGGAAATAATCCAATCCAAAATATGGACTGGATTATTTTAATAAAAAAATATTTCCTGCTGTGTTAACAACAAACTCATCAGTCAACTGAGAGTAACTATACATGTTTATGGATGATCTGTTCACAGAGAGCAGCATCTCCAGTGTCCAGCTGTGTGTGGAGAGTAAAACCTCAGTGATGGAGCATCACTCCAGCAGTGGAGGAAGAACCTCTGATTCAAAGTGAGTAACTTTATATCAGCTCTTAACCTGATTAAACAGAAAGAGGAAATCGTGACTTATGATCAGAATAAATTAGTCTTAGTGAAGAACATTATTACTCAGCACTTTAATCTCACTGTGGATGAACTTTTCTCAGAGTGAAGCGTGCAGCATCTCCAGAACCCAGCTGTGTGTCTATGAAGAGTGACGGGTCCATGGGGGAACCTCTTAATTTCAGCAGAGGAGGAGGAGAACCCAGCTGTGTGTCTATGAAGAGTGACTGGTCCATGGGGGAACCTCATAATTTCCGCAGAGTAGAAGGAGAACCCAGCTGTGTGTCTATGAAGAGTGGCTGGTCCATGGAGGAACCTCTTAATTTCAGCAGAGGAGGAGGAGAACCCAGCTGTGTGTCTATGAAGAGTGACCAGTCCATGGTGTTACCAGCACAGTCCAGTGGAGGGAGAGGAACCTCTGACTCAGGGTAAATAACTGCTAACAGTAAATAACAGTTCTGACAGTGAATCATTGTAAACATGTATCTGAGCTCTGGGCTGCATGTTGTAGATCAGTTTGTAAAGATCAGAGTAAAGAGTTTTTCACATATTTAATATTAGCAGGACTGAAATAGGGCAGCAACGATTAGTCAACATAATCGACAACATCGATTCTAAAAATCTGTCGACTTAGAATTTCAGTGTCGATGTGTCATTAATTTGTAACTGCAGTGCTCTATAGGAAGTGATGGGGGCGGAATCACTTCCATTATCTGGCATGACTGCATTCTGTACTAATGAAGAGCATATTGAATGCACAGCGGAGAGCCTGTAAAAAGGTGAAGCAAAAAGCGAGATAGAAACTTTCAAAAGTCTGGGAGCATTTCAGTGAAAATAAACCAATGAAACAAGTCGAATGCAGACACTGTAAAGCAGATTTGTCATTTCACGGCAGCACTACAGTGATGCATGACCGTCTGAAACGCAAGCACCCTGGAGCCATGATGTCTAATTTACATATACTGCTTCTGCATGGCGAGTGACACGAAAAGTCTTGCTTTTCATTTCGGTGCCCATGTTAACTGGTCAGCGCTTTCACACAGGCTGCGGATGCTGCACTGAAGCGCTGCAGTGTTTAGAGAATAGACCAGGAGACATTTTTTTTCCAAGGGCCACACACGTCATGCAGCAAAATACACTTAAAAAGTCCTGAAAATTAAACAGGAAACCATGGACAAACTTAAAAATGCTATTTTTAATTCATTTAATTTATGATGAAATACTAGTTAAACATTCCGTGCTGCAGACAGATTTTCTGGTTGGTCCAGAGGCTTGAAACTTTTTCCTAATCAGAAGTCAGAACGCTGTCCAGGATAAACAAACATACCGTGCACTTTTATGAATTGTATTTTTGTTCAGCAGAGTGATTGATGTGACCATTTCCATGTGGCCTGGAAAAATTAATGTCTGTATAACTTTCTCCTACTCCGCTCTGCAGCTCGAACATTGTATGTATGAAAGGCCAGCTCACACTGCCGTATCACTCACACCACACAGAGGTACCATGTGTGAATCAGGTCTAATGCTACTAAGGGTAAAAGTGGGTAAAAGGGTAGAACAGGTAAAAGTGTTTTCTACCACTTTGTATTTTAGCCAGCTAATCTTAGTATCATAAGGTTTGTTAGTTTACCAGTCGGAAAACAAGGTCTCATGGGTTGTGTTAGCTAAGAGAACGCTAGCTAGCCTTGCTCCAGAGCACGTCAACACACTCACGTTCCTGCACTCCAATTAAAGATTTTGTAAACTATTGCTAATTGTTAAAAGTTATTTATTTTACGTATGAAACATTATTTAAACTGTTGGACTTCCAGAACCAGCAAGATTTCATATAGGATGGATTATTTTTTACACTTTTACGTACTTTAATGTCACTTATTATATAGTTTGTTTTTGCATTGCAGAGTTATGACTTCTACAATTCAGCAGCCCCCATGCTGGGGCAGAGGCAGCTATTTTGAGTTACATTTTTTCATTGAGTTACATTATCTTCATTTGAAAGGCTTCTTACACTTTAATTTGTATTATTAAATTAGTTTGTTTCACTTTTATTAGGATTACATTTATTAATGTTACAAATGCATTTATTTAAGCTATCAAGCTTAAGTTTCATATTCTTGTTTCATGGGTCATTATTTTAATTTGCTATGGGAACTTGACTGGACAACAGGGTGACGTTCACATGTTTGCAGACTTGAGCAGGTGAAGTAAAACAGGAACAGGAGCCACGCCCACAGGAAACAGAGGTGGAAGTCATAACAGAAATAATCATTGACTAATCGACTAATCAAAAAAATAATCAACAGATAAGTCGACTGCCAAAATAATCATTAGTTGCAGTTTCTCCAGTGTCCAGATCTGTGTTTAAGAAGAGTCATGGTCCTGCCTGAACATTCAGTCCTGTGACCCACAAAAAGTTAAACATTAAAGACTCTTATTTACCTTCCCAGTTAATGTATCACACACAGTCACTCTTCATAGACACTCAGGTGGGCACTGGATAAACTGCTGTCTGGGTTTGAGTCTTGCTAATTTTCAAAGTTCAAGGAGCATATTGGTCAGATCTGTGCTCTCGCAGGAGGTATCACTGACCGGAGCAGAGGGGGAGGATGACCTGCTCTTAACCTGGAGTCTGTTTAACAAGTGGTGTAGTGTGTATGTAGTTCATGAAACACATGCATGTATCGTCACACTGAATCCTGTTTATTTATTTTTACACTGAATACACTCTACATGTCAATACATCAGGTTGTATGTTTATTTTCAAAACATGTAATTTTAATGAATTATGAGTTTATTTACAATCAGGTAATTTAAAGCAGAAGAATTTTTGTGACAAATGGCTCCTTAAACCAGCACTAAATACTGTTTGATCTTTCAGGTCTACAAGAAAGCCTAAATAGACCTGCTCTGGTCACCATTAATTTCCTTCTTCTTAATCCTAACAAAACTGAGGTCCTACTACTTGGACCCAAAGCAGAGAGATCTCAACTCTCCAAATGTGAACTAAATTTTGAGGCCATACGGTCATTCCAAGCGCTACTGTGAAAAATCTAGGCGTTATTTTCGATTCCAGTCTCTCTTTTCATACACATGTCTGCAACATTGTTAGAACCGCATTCTTTCACTTGCGTAACATCACTAAACTATGCAATATTCCAGCCCTAAATGATGCAGAAAAACTGGTTCCTTTATAACCTCCAGACTGGACTACTGTAACACCATTTTAGCTAGATGCTCCAACACTTTAATAAATGAGCTCCAACTGGTCCAGAATGCAGCTGCTAGAGTCCTAACAAGGACCAAAAAATTTGACCATATGTCCCCCATCCTGTGGTCATTACACTGGCTACCCTTTAAATTTCCTGTAGAGTAGAAGATTCTTCTCTTAATGTATAAATCATTAAATGTCCTGGCCCTGCACCTTCGCTGGGGACTCTACATTTAAAACTAGACTCAAAACATTTTTATTTGCACAAGCATTTTGCTAATATCAGTTGTTGCACTATTAACTCACTAATATCTCTCCATAAACGGACCTGTCCTGTTAATCAATTTCTGTCTCTCTCTCTCGCTCTCTCTTTCTCTCTCACTCTCCCTCCCTTTATTTGAGCCCCTGAGCGACGTCTGCCTGGGTCACCACATGGGAACCACCAGAGCTGCTAGAGTCACCAGTGCTCCATCTCTGTTGGCTGATCTGCACTGTATTGACCACCATGGAGTTTCATGCTGTACAATGCTGTGCAGACCTCACCTGCATGAACTGACCCTCCTGATGCTGCTGCCGCTGCATAAACTAAGCTAATTAACCATTGCTCAACTTGTTTTTCCTGTTTTGTATTATAATATTTTATACTAACACTGTTTGTTATCCGGTGTCAACCAGAGGAGGATGGGTTCCCCTTTTGAGTCTTGATTCCTCTCAAGGTTTCTTCCTCTTGCTCTTAGGGAGTTTTTCCTTGCCACTGTCGCCACTGGCGACGCTCATGGGGCCTTGGACTCGGATTTTTCTGTAAAGCTGCTTTGTGACAACACCTGTTGTAAAAAGCGCAATATAAATAAACTTTGACTTGACTTGATTATTCATTATTGGGGTTTAAAGAAAGCAAAGGGAAGTTCATAGATTATGTCTGTAAACATCCAGAATGAATGTTAACAAATAATTCATAACAATGTTAATTAATCAAAATTTTTTATTTGATGTTTATTGTGACAAAAACAATTTACCAGTAGAGACAGGAAATCAGAACACAATTTCAAGTGACTAAAAACATTTTTATAAACTTTGTTTTTAATGAATCCATTGTTTATATGTAGTTTTATTATTTTTATTTTTTTTAAGAAATTATTTATTCATTAGTGCATTAACTTAATTTGATTTATGCTTTATTTCTATTCATATTGCTAATAATAATAATAATAATTATTATTATTATTGATAACAATACATAATAATATCACTTTCAACATGATCATAAACATTGTGATGAGCAGCTTTTATAAACTGGTCAGTTATTTTCACTGTACACTGAGATTTGTGTTATTAAGATGCCTGTACTGTCTCATTAGCTAACTTATCATCAGCTTAGTGAGCAGAATAGAGACCCAAACAGTGCCACACGCCTCAGTACAGGTTTGATTCTGACTGACTGCTGATCAGATCACAATGTGTGTTTGTGAATCTTTAACTATTAATAACCAGTTCTATAATATTTAAAACCAAGTTTAATATCAATTAATGTTAATTAATATACATTATATTACCACATACAAACTACAAAGATACTTTTTGTTTGTCAGCTGAAGAGCTGCTACTGGCTTCATTTCAGTCCGAGAGAAGCATTGCTGCCTGGTTTTTACTGCATGGACTTTATTAACTATTCATTTACTGAAAGTGTTAAAAATCTAAAATGCATTCTTCAAACTTAAAGCTGTCAAAGTGTTTACCATGTGAAATGTATCTGAATGCATCCATTCTGAAAGTGTAATTTTACACGGTTGAAACTATGGTGTTGATATTTAGAGTAAAGATTCACTTGAACTTTATTAATAAACTCTATTTACTGTTATTATGCTTAATTCAAGAACATGTAAATAAGCCATGTTTTATATTAAATATAATTGCTGATTCTAGATAAAGCCATCCAAATAAGCTATTGCTTTACATTCTGACAAACTACTACAAACAAAAAGTTTTTTTGTCTTTTGTTTAACAAAATATCTCAAATCTAATTAAATAAATTATTACAAAACTTTTATGGGTATTTGTGTTAATGATGTTTATGTTATTGTGTTTGGTCCTGATTAGGCAGCACGCCACACAAACAGCACTGCAGATAAACACTCTGGCAGATATTCACCAACCAGTGGATGACGTCCTTCACAGAGTCTTAGAGAGACACAAAACCAGAATGAAGAAGAAGTACAAGAGCTTATTTGAGGGAATCAGAACAGAAGAGAATAAAACCCTCCTGAACAGGATTTACACACAGCTCTGCATCATAGAGGGAGAGAGTGAAGGAGTGAATGAAGAACATGAGGTTCTACAGATGGAGAAAACATCCAGGAGACACTTACAAGACTCTCCAATCAACTGCTTAGACATCTTTAAACCTCTACCAGGTCCTGGAGGAGAAACACAAGAAGAGAACATTAGAGCTGTGAAGGCTGACAGTCTCAGACACAAAGAAAGAAAAGAAGATAACAGACCAAAAGAGCCAGAGCTCAGAAGTGTTCTGACTAAAGGCATCGCTGGAATTGGAAAAACTGTCTCTGTGCAGAAGTTCATTCTGGACTGGGCTGAAGGAAAAGCCAATCAGGATGTGGAGCTCATGTTTGTGCTTCCGTTCCGGGAGCTGAACCTGATTAAAGATGATCAATATAGTCTTCATGGACTTCTGTGTGACTTCCATCCTGAGCTCAAAGATCTGGACCCAGAGATTTATGATCAGCTCAAAGCTGTGTTTATATTTGATGGTCTGGATGAAAGTAGAATTCCACTGAACTTTGAACAGTGTGAGAAAGTATCTGACATCACCATGACATCATCAGTGGGTGTGTTGATGACAAACCTCATCAAAGGAGAGCTGCTTCCCTCTGCTCTGATCTGGATAACCTCCCGACCAGCAGCAGCCAATCAGATCCCTCCAAAATACATCAAGCGTTCGACAGAAATTCAGGGATTCAGTGACCCACAGAAGGAGGAGTACTTCAGGAAGAGGATCAGTGATGAAGACCAAGCCAAGAGAATCATCTCCCACATTAAGACAGCGAAGAGCCTCCACATCATGTGCCACATTCCAGTCTTCTGCTGGATCTCAGCCACTGTTCTTCAGCAAATCATCAAACAGAGTCATACAGAAATCCCTAAAACTCTGACTGAAATGTACTCACACTTCCTGATCACTCAGACAAACATGAAGAACAAGAAGTATGAGGAGAAAGACAAGAGAGACCCAAAGAACCTGCTGGAGTCCAACAGAACCATTCTGCTGAAACTGGCTGAACTAGCTTTCAAACAGCTAATGAAGGGCAATGTGATGTTCTATGAAGAGGACCTGAGAGAGAGCAGCATTGATGTTCCTGAGGCCTCAGTGTATTCTGGGATTTTCACTGAGATCTTTAGGGAGGAATGTGTGCTTTACCAGAGGAAGGTCTACTGCTTTGTTCATCTGAGCTTTCAGGAGTTCCTGGCTGCTGTTTATGTGTTTCACTGCTATGAGAGGAAAAACAAGAAGGAACTTCAGATATTTAAACCACTAAAGAGTGAGTGGTCTAAGTATGAGCTACTGGATGAGGTTCTGATGGGAGCAGTGAATAAAGCTGTACAGAGTCAAAATGGACACCTGGATCTTTTCCTCCGTTTCCTGCTGGGCATCTCACTGAAGTCCAATCAGAGACGCCTACAGGGTCTACTGACCCCAACACAGAGCAGCTCAGAGAGAACCAGAGAGTACATCAAGAGTTTAATCAAAGGAGAAGATAAATATCACATCTCCACTAAGAGATCCATCATCTCCACTGAGAGAGCCATCAATCTGTTCCTCTGTCTGTCTGAAATGAATGACCAGTCTCTCTCCAGAGAGATTCAGAAGTATCTAAACTCAGAGAGACACTCAGAGGAGAAGCTCTCTCCTGGACAGTGTTCAGCACTAGCCTGCATGTTTCTGACCTCAGAGGAGGTTCTGGATGAGCTGGATCTGAAGAAATACAACACATCAGAGGAGGGTTATAGGAGACTGATCCCAGCTCTGACTGTCTGCAGAAAAGCTCGGTGGGTGTTACATCTACATTAATAAAGCAGATTAATATCTGATTATTGATGATTGATCAGGGCTGACTATCAAACTCTCTCACACTCACTATCAAACCGTCTCACACTCACTATCAAACTCTCACACTCACTTTCAAACTCTCTCACTCACTATCAAACTCTCACACGCTATCAAACTCTCTCACACTCACTATCAAACGCACACGGTAACCCTTTACATTAAGGGTTGCTAATCAATCATTAAATATATAATCAACTAGTAGTTTCCCATTATTTAGTTATTAGTTAACTCTTCATTAAGCATTAGCTATTACTTAGTAATTGATTAAGCACTTATCAATTAATAATTAAGTACACTGTTAGGTCATAAGTTAGTTTGTCGTTAGTTTATGGCTTACTTACTCATCATCTGTGTACTAACTGCTGCTTATTACATTGTTAATTAACTAATAAGTATTTTTCTTCGTATAAAGAATTAACGTGATAACTTACTAGCACTTAAGTGTTAATCCCGCTAATTATCTGTTAATTAACTTTCCATCACCTCCATATATTCAGTTGCTTCACTTTTCTCACTTTGGTTCTTGTTCATTAAAGATGCTTATGGTCACATCTGACCGTAAGATGAGTGCACACAAATTTACTGACGGTTTTGTTATTCATCACGTTCATCTTGGCATATCTGTACTCATATCTGGTAGGAGTGCATATAATTTTAGGCATAAATGCTGGATATGTGGCTACTTAACCAAAACTATTATCAACATAATCTGTAATTGCAAAAATAAGAACAACAATAGAAAATTTCAATAATACTAATTTGTGTGCATGACAGTCCAGTACAAAAGTGGATGTACTTACTTTACATGCACATTGATATAAACAAGTGCTGCAACTATTTCATGTTCCATTTAAAGACACATTACACTGTGCTTTTGTTTCGTACTACTGACTCACAAACACAGCTTCGGTCATACACTGCAATAATACAGCGTTTATTTTAGGGAATAATTACACTAAACAATCACTCTACTATGTTAACAACACAGAGTATTTTGTTTTATTTCACATTTTATTTTTTCCAGTTGTTGTAATTTTAATACTATTAAGTTTGGTCAGCAGGGGAGGAGTGCACTCACTGCTGGACATCAAACTCCACCCACGAGCACGGCCATCAGCTTTCATGCCAAACACTGCCGTTTTATTGGCTGGCTACAGAAACATCTGCATGAATTAGTGTGTGCTTCATGTAAATGATATGTAAATGAGGTGCTGGTAGGCTGGTTTCATGCACTGAAGCTGATTTATCATTTATGCTCAAATCTCCACTTGTTTCCACATCATATACAATTGTTATGAATCAGACGTAGAGCAGTTCATACCCTATAAAAGGCAAAAAAAGTGTTCTTTTTTTTTTACGTAACTTTGATGATTAATGGGCCCTTTTCACAAGATTCGTGATTACTTCCGGTTTAAGCATTAGCAGGGTAAAACTCACTTCCTCTCCATATAGGTTAGCTAACTACTGCAGACGCGATGTCAACATGTAGTAGTGAACTATAATGCTCAAACACTGAGCTACAACAGCTATATTTTAGTTTTCCTGCACGGTTGTGACAGGCAGACTGGAACACTTCTAGTTTAGTCAGGCGCCATTTTCACTCTAGTTGTCTGACAGTCTGTTTTAAAGCTCGAGTGTGATCATTATACCACAGGGCAGCTTTGTCTGCCTTATTATTTTACTTCTTCATGGAGCCGCATTATCTAGAGTAGAACGGAAAGTATCCTCTAAGCACTTGGTCATAATATCTAATACATGGACAGCTGAATGAAGCTGATAATTGTGGGAGGTTTCTGATAAAGCTACCAGCTGTGGAGGAAGTTATAATCTGTTTAACACGATAGCTGGTGATGAACGTACATTACCACTAAAGCAAATTTCATATGAGATTTGGTAGTGATCTGAGACTGCTGTGCTCTGGGGAGAACAGCTAAATGATCTATGTTTACAACAAATGTATTTATGTTTGAAATAAAATCTATAAGTTTTTAAAATAGATAAATCCTTAATCTTTCAATTAATCTATAAATCTAGTGTTAATCTTCAGATCAGTCTTGGAAATTACCTTGTATTTCTTTTTTACCCTGTGCCACATTTTCCTGTAGTCCCAATTCCAAAGGATAGTCCTATCAACAAGCAAAGAAAATCAAAGTAGGACTTTTACCTCTGTTAACTTATTAGTGTACAATTGTATCTGCGGAGTGGGGCTGCAGGTTTTCATGGATATTTGTTTTTTCCTGATTAAGGGGAAACAGCTGAGCTCCTGCTTGTTTCCAGTGAAAACCTGCAGCTACAGCCACCCTTTGTGGATAAGATTGGACATCCCTGATCTAACTGGTGAACAGACACTTTGATTTTCTTACTTCCAAGCTGACAAAGCAGAGTTTTTCTCCCTGGGGAGCAGCTCAGTACCCAGTAAGTCTGTCCTGTCAGTGACTCAGTGCACAGTAATGCACAGGTTCTGTACAGTGTGATTGCTCTTGGTCCAAATGACCTGTACCGTTCCTCACTACAGCGGAGCTGAATGAGTCTGTTGCTGAAAGTGCTCTGCTGTCTGACCAGTAGGTCATTGAGGGGTTGTGATGTGTTGTCCAGGATAGCATACCATAGCATTTTTGCATCTCCCATTCTGATGGTGCCTCCCCAGCAGACTGCTGTAAAGAAGGCAGCACTCACAACAACAGACTGGTTTCCCATCCAGTTTGTTGTCAAGCAGGACACCCAGATATTTGTAAGTGTCTACCAGCCCAACTTTCTGACCCATGATGATAATTGATAAAATCTCCTTGTTCTTGGTCACATTGAGGATCAGGTTGTTCCTCATATACCACTCAACAAAGCTTTCCACAAGGTTCCTATACTCTCCTTCCTGCCCATACCTAATGCACCCAACCACCACAGAGGGATGTCTGTTGTGTACATGGTGAAGAGGAAGGGGGAGAGCACAGTTCCCTGAGGTGCTCCAATGCTGCTGACCAGATGATCTGACAGACAGATTCTCAACCCCACATACTGGGGTCTTCCAGACAGGTAGTCAAAGACCCATGCAAACATGGAGTTGTCCAGCTTCATTTTCTCCATCTTCTCCCCCAGCATGAGAGGTTGAATGGTATTAAATGCACATGAAAACAGTGGATATGTTTTCTGTTTTAAATGGGATCAAATGGATGAGTAATCAAGCTATGAAAATCTTGTATACTTCTTTCTGAAAGACAAAGTAGGATGCAGAGAGTAAAGTAATTCTATTACAGTTCTCTTGATTACACCATGTACTATATTTATTCTGACTTTTACAGACTAGCCAGGTGTGGTCTCACCATAAATTCCTGCGAGAACCTATCAACAACTCTACAATCCATAAACTCATCTCTCAAAGAGCTAGATCTGAGTAAGAATCATGATTCAAGAGTGGAGCTGCTCTCTGCTGGACTGAGGAACTTGCACTGTTTTTTAATAAAAAAGACAAACCATAATAAATAAACTGCAATCTTACAATAATTGATTTGTGTGGAATTTTAATATTCATTTCACACGAATTTAAACTTCTACTGAATCTCTTTCTCTAGCTGTCCTTGAAATTTAAAAACACAAAGTATAGTATGCTGCTGAAAAAACACACTTTTTATGGTCTTAAACAGGGAGCTTCTACTTAGAGAAAAAAACAGTGGATATGTTTTCTGTTTTAAATGGGATCAAATGGATGAGTAATCAAGCTATGAAAATCTTGTATACTTCTTTCTGAAAGACAAAGTAGAATGCAGAGAGTAAAGTAATTCTATTACAATTCTCTTGGTTACACCATGTACTATGTTTATTCTGACTTTTACAGACTAGCCAGGTGTGGTCTCACCACAAGTTCCTGTGAGAATCTATCATCAGCTCTTCAATCCATAAACTCATCTCTGAAAGAGCTAGACCTAAGTAACAATGACCTTCAGGATTCATTTGTGGACCTGCTCTCTGCTGGACTGAAGAGCTCACACTGTAAACTAGAGATACTCAGGTAAACTTTGTGTATTTTTTTTTAAATACAGAGAGTAACGTAATTCTATTACAGTTCTCCTGATTACACCATGTACTATATTCTGACTTTTGCAGACTAGATAGGTGTGGTCTCACCACAAGTTCCTGTGAGAATCTTTCATCTGCTCTACAATCTGTAAACTTGTCTCTGGCAGAGCTGGACCTGAGTAACAATGACCTTCAGGATTCAGGAGTGAAGCTTCTGTGTGCTGGGCTGAAGAACTCACACTGTAAACTGAAGACACTCAGGTGAACTTTCTGTGAATTAATTCTTGAATGGAAATAAGCTGATAAGGCACAAGAAAATGTAAACATAAATACAAAAACAGAATTTTATATATATATATATATATATATGATTCTGTTATATATATATATATATATATATATATATATATATATATATATATATACATACATATATATAATTAATTCCTTCTTTGACTCCATTGTATTGTCTGTTTGCAGACTACACATCTGTAGTCTTGGTGCAAAAGCTTGTGAAAATCTGGGATCAGCTCTACAATCACCATACTCCTCCCTGAAAGTGCTGGACCCCAGTAACAATGACTTGCAGGATTCAGGAGTTGAGATGCTCTCTGCTGGACTAAAGAGTTCATTTTGTAAACTGGAGACTCTCAGGTGAGCTTTCTGTGAATTCAATCCTGAATGAAAAAAAAGTTACAGAAAGAATCAATGAACTGGCAAATCAATCAACTCAACATTATTTTTTCTTGTCTCTCTCACCGTCCTTGTTCCTGTAATAAGTGTGTAGTGAGCTGTCATGTCATATTCTCTCATGCAATTCTGAAATCTTCTTTGTTTCTTTGAGTGTTGCAAGAAACTAGACTAACCACCAGTAAAAATGAACACTAAAGTTTTAGTATTTAATAAAATTTTAGTATTTAGTACTTTTTGTCAGTTTTCTTGTTTCTGCTATTAAGCTCATTGTAATTACATACAAAACATTATTGTAATGACTAGTATTTAGCATGTGCTCTGATAAGCTAAATAGTGACTACAGGCTACAGGAAACAACTTTAAATGTATTTTTATGGTGAAATGTTTTTGCACTGAAACTTATTTAAACCTACTTTAGATTAAAAGTAGAGCAGGAATTTCTCCAAGGTTTGGTAATAGTGTCAGCCCTTAAATTAGAGAAAAAGGATTTAAAGATACTGTTGATAGCTTTGCTTTAAAACAGTCAAAGAAGTACATTTTCTAAGGAAATGATTCACACACTGTTTACACTCACATTGTTAAATAGTTTCCTAATATTTTAATTGTAATTTATTGATATTTAATTTATTTTTACAAGGTAAAAGATTTTCCTCAGAAATCTCCTGGAAGGGAGGTCCCAGAATAGTTTACAAGGTCATGAAATATTTGAAGTGGGAACTGTACCTCCCACATGAAATATTTTAAATTGAGAAGTTGAAGTTTGGTACCACCCTGCACAATGTTAAGAAAAAACAATACTAAACAGCATGGTCAGTGTGCTGCTATTTCAGTTATGTAGTGAGCCTAGCAGCTTTAGCGCATAGTGTTAGAAATTCAGCAGGATGAGTCAGGAGACTGGATCTTCAGATTTCAAGTTTTATTCACATGTTTACCGAGAATCTTGCACAAACACAGCTTGATCATCAGTCTGTCACCAGTCCAATGAACACACAGTCTGACATGGTTTATGTAGAGATACTGAGGGTCAGAGGAGGGAGCAAATAGGAAAGAGAAAAAATTGAAAGGAGTGAGGATAAAAAGTTAGAGGAGAAGGTGAAGGGGTCAAGGTTAAAAGTTGCAATGTCCTCACCTCAGGAGGGACATAAACAAAGACATACAACAGCAAGTAAATATAACTGACACAAGAAATGAATAACACATGTTGGAGAATAGAAGAAAGCACATGTGAAAGGACATATACTTTCTCTCCATAGCGAACTCTAGCGAAAGACTATGGCTATATATAAAAACTTATAAACACACATATACACTGAAACTTCATTTTATATATGTATATATATATATATATATATATATATATATATATATATATATATATATATATATATATATATAAAATGAAGTTTCAGTGTATATGAATTTATTATATATTAATAACCTGTGGGCTATTAAGTGTGTTTTTCCCTGAGTGTGTTGCAGGTGGAATTGAAATGGAGAGCTTTTACCTAATTGGCTACTGAGACACACCAGTGTGCAGTTTTTCTTTTAAAGGCTTTCCAATGTAGAGGGCTGGAGTCCATTTTCTCTGTTTCTCTTTAATGTTGGTTCATTTTCTGGTCATCTTGGGGCTAATGCTGTCAGGAATCCAATGTGTGGGCTTCAGTAGGGCTATCTTTGTGCTTTGCAACACATTTTTAAATAGATTAATTTGAAAATAAAAGTTTTTGCTACAGCTTTCACACATTGTCTCTATCAGTTGTTTGGTTTGAACTGGCTGGAGGCCAATTCTGTACTGCAGCTGGGTTTTGCTGTATGTAAATGCCATCTGTCTCTCTTTTACCTTCCTTTCTGCAGATTGTCTGGCTGCATGGTTACAAATAAAGGCTGTTCTTCTCTGGCTTCAGCTCTGAAATCAAACCACTCCCACCTGAGAGAACTGGATCTGACATATAATCACCCAGGAGAGTCTGGAGTGAAGCTGCTGTCTGTTCTACTGGAGGATCCACATTGTAAACTGGAGAAACTACAGTAAGTTACTGACTTCTTACAGACTGAACACATCTTACCCACTGAGTTTAACTTTTTACAGAACGAACGCATCTAACAAACTGAGTTTACCTTCTCAAAGACTGAACTCGTCTTGCATACCGAGTTTAACTTCTTACAAACTGAATACATCTTACATAATGAGTTTAACTTCTTATGGACTGAACACATCTGACACACTGAGTTTAACTTCTTACAGACTGAACATATCTTACACACTGACTTTAACTTCTTCCTGTTACGGGACAGCGGGGAGACGGACCCAAGTGCAGAAATGAAAACCAGTGAGAAAGAGTGTTAAATAAATTTATAGGGGCAATGGAATGTGAGTTTGGGACATTGCAGTTGAGGTGACCCAGAGCCAGGCTCGAACTGCCTATGTACTGGCGCACATGTACTGGCGCTGGTGACAACGGCTAAAACACCTTAAGGAAGGGGAAATGAAAAGGTGGGAAAATGGCAAATAGCAAACAAAAGAACAGCGTGCTCAAACAAAGGCTGAACTAGAAAGGTGAAATAAAAGATAATGGGAAAACAAAACACACTTCTCCCTGTAGGTATAAAGGAAAGCTACACTTTATGTTTCACTTGTTTGCTCTTGGTGGATCAAACACCTTTTCTATTGCTTGGAGCAGTTTGTAGCTCAAGGCCCACCTGGACTGTGTACCATACCGGTCACCCCTCTACAAAGGTGTGACAAAGGGCTGCTGTTTGCCACAGCCTTAAGTAGAGGAGTCCACAGGTGTGTCAGGTTGGACCTAATCAGCCCAAGGGCTTCTGGGAATTGGAGTTCCCTGAAGTTATGGCCTCTTGCCGCTGTTGCCCTCTGCTGGCAGCAGGCGGTGCAGGCTCGACCTTTACACTTACAGACTTATGAGAGGCCATTTAGGCCAAAATTCTAACTTACCTCTCACCCTCACTATCAAACCCCTCACACTCACTGTCAAACTCTCTCACACTCGCCATCAAACTTTCTCACACTCACCATCAAACTCTTTCACACGTGCCATCAAACTCTCTCATGCTCACTATTAAACTCTCTCATACTCACCATCAATCCCTATATAGATTTGACTCTATATAGGTTCTATATAGAACTATGAACACAAAAACAACCATTTGCATTTTTAAAGAGCTCTTTGGTGGTGAAATGTTTCTTCAGATTGATAGATAGGTAGATAGTTAGATAGAACCGTACACGGACCGTTTCACAGTTTCACAAACTAATCATAAACTTTGTTAGAGTAACCGTATTATAGCTCCAGACTTAAGAATTAAAGCTGTGAGCTCCGCTCTCCTGTGTTCTTATTGTTCATATAATACTGTGGCAGCACTGGTTTTGGGAAGGATCCCTTAGAGGCATGTTATGCAGAGCTGAGCCACAGTGAGGGACAGTGTTGTGGTTTAATGTTGTTAATGTTGTTGTTCTGTTGTTGTTCTGTCACCACTCATCTCCGAGTGCAGCACTAACAACCATGCCTTTGGTACATAAAACTAAACTCTCACTGCCAGACTCTGTGTTGGGCTTTAGGTCCTGTTGTGCTGTTTGTTGTGAAAGAAGAGTGTGGATTAACCATTATTTACAAACAAACAACTGAATAACAAGAACAATAATAATAATAATAATAATAATAATGTTTATTTATATAGCACCTTTCTGTCACGCTTCCGGGTTCTCCTCCCTTGCCTAACACTCTCCAGGACTCCATTTCCCATGATTCCGATCCCGATGATGTCACTCCTTCCACCAATCACACACATCTGCCACGTTCTCAGTCACCCGAGTATTAACGCAACTCACCTGTGTTTGTTTGCCTCAGACTTTAAAAGGACTCTGGTTTGTTCTCCTCATTGCGAGGTATTGCCATTCACTGGTTTAATGAGTGTTTCTTTACTGTGTTTCCTGACTTGTGTTTTTGAACTCCCTGCCTGTTACTGGATATTGCTCTTTGTGTTTGCCCTTTTGCTCTGGTCGCCTGTGCTTTTGTATTCTCTGGTTTTTGACTCTCTGCCTGTTTTTGGATATTGCTCTTTTGTGTTTGCCCTTTTGCTCTGGTTGCTTGTATTTTTGTATTTTCCAGTTTTTGACTTTTTGCCTGGCTTTTTGGATTCTGATTTTGGATTTGCCCTGGGTCTGTCTTTTCATCTGACTGTTCTCTCATTAAATCAACTTCCGTTTTTAAGATCTGCGAGCATCTTTCTGTTCTTGAGTAGCGTTACACTTTCATACATTAAAAATGCAGTTCCAAGTGCTTTACAATACAAAGTAAAAACAATAGAGGAAGAAGAGAAAAAAGATAATCAAAAATGAAAACAAATAACAAAGCATAAGATAAAACTATAAATATAATAAAAAAGACAATAAAAATGCAACCAACAAGAACATAAAAGTAATAGTAATATTCCAGTAAAAACAAAGAAAAAACAATAAAAAACTAATTAAACGCTGAAGTCATTTTTTTGAAACACTGACAGAAGGAGTCCAGATCTTTGGTGCATTAAAAACAAAACGCTTCAGACATGGAATATGGAGAAGCAGCACTGGATGATCTTAAAGCTTGATTAGGAACATCATCTATCAGCACTCAGAGACATATGAACCATTAAGAGGTTAAAAGACTAGTAGTAAAATTTTATAGTCAATTCTAAAAGAGACAGGCAGCCAGTGCAGTGATGCTAAAACAGGTCTAAAAATGATCCTGTTTTCTTGCTGCTGCATTTTGCACAAATTGTAATTTACACAGTTTCTAGCATCTTGTGGTACACCACAGCGAGTATCATGCTTATCAGAGATATGTTCGCCTATGTTTATGTCACGCATTTGGCAAGCTCTCAGAAAGAGACGGACTTCATCTCCCAGACTCCACCAGCATCCGCGAGCGTCTGGTTTCTGTTGAGTCGTCACAGAATACCTCGCCTGACATGCAGACGGCAGACTTGGAAGCCTTTTGTTTGTTCAAGGCTCTGAACGAACAAGGACAACTCGTAAGTCGACATCAGCAAATACTGTCCGGAGTGACTCAATCTCTAGAGTCACTAGCCCACCAACAGGCAGAACAGCAAGCTCAGTTGGCTCAATTGGTCACCAGTGTGAAGGGGTTGACTGGCCAGCTCCAGAATATGAGCCTCGTGGAACAGGCTTTAAGCTCAGTTTTCCCCACCATGGCAGCAGAGACCTCACTGGCAGTATTTCTGGTTAGTAAACCCGACAAATTTGAAGGAAATCCAGATAAATGTTTCCTGCTTCAGTGTTCAGTCTTTTTTGACAATTCCCCTGCTAGCTCTGACCAGGCCAAGATATCTTTTATTGTTTTTATTGTGTCTTGTTTAGTGGATAAAGCACTTGAATGGGCCACAGCCAGTTGGGCTAACATTCACTACATGTCTTATGCCCAATTCCTTAAAGAATTCAAGATGGTATTTGATCACCCCTATGAGGGTAAAGTTAGTGGGGAGTTATTTTCCAAATTACGTCAGGAAAATAATTCTGTGGTGGACTATTCACTAGAGTTTAGAACTCTCGCAGCAAGCAGTGGCTGGAATGAGGCAGCTCTCCTAGTGATATTTAATCAAGGACTTAATGCACATATATTAAACGAACTGGCTAGCAAAGATGACGATTTAATGCTAGATCACCTGATCACTCTCACTCGTCATCTTCTGCACTCATAAAAGAACCAAGATCGAGAAAGACCCAAGAAGGAGACTCCCTCATGTAAGAGTCACCCATGAAACCTCTGAAACTGCCTTACCCATGCAATGTGACTCATCGCGGCTGTCACAGGAGGAAAGACTGCATCAGCTGAACAACCATCTATGTCTGTATTGTGGCAAGGCTGGGATATCAAGTTCGTGAGTGCCGCACCAGACTACAAAAGCAAGGCGCCGACCCCTGGACAGCACGTGGAGTTCATTCCTAATGTGGTGAGTGTGCCCACAATGGGATTGGTTTTGAAATCAGTGATGTTACCTGTGACTATATACTACCATCCCCATTCTCTTATACTTTCAGCTCTGATTGATTCTGGTGCAGAGGGGAACTTCATTCATGCCAGATTAGTTGACCCACGTCAGATTCCGGTGAAGACCTTCCAGACAGTTTTTAAAGTGGCCACACTGGACGGAGGACCAGTTGGATTTGGAACCATATCCAAGGTCACAACAACCTTGGGTTTACAGACCAGTGCTCTTCATAAGGAGGATTTGTCATTTCTAGTTCTCGAGCAGTCCGAATTTGAATTGATCCTAGGACTCCCCTGGTTAGAGAGACACAACGGCTCCCATTTTGAAAACACCCTGATCCCACACAGCCCTTTGAATTCCACCTGCAGTCCGTGTCCTTCCCAGGCTACGTCATCAGCCATCAAGGAGTTATCATGGACAACCACACAGTAGAAGCGGTTGTCCAATGGTCCACACCCACTTCAGTTAAGGAACTACAGAGGTTTTTGGGTTTTGGGTTTTTACCGTAGATTCATTAGAAATTTTAGCAGTATTGCAGCCCCTCTTACCTCCCTGCTAAAAGGAAACGCCAAGAAGATCCAATGGACTGAACAGGCAAAAAAGGCTTTTCAAAGTCTCAAAGAGGTTTTCACAACGGCTCCCATTTTGAAACACCCTGATCCCACACAGCCCTTTGTAGTAGAGGTAGATGCCTAGGTAGTGGGAGTTGTGTTATCGCAGAGAACTGGATCCCCTCAGAAATTACACCCCATTGCCTTTTATTCTCATAAGTTGTCACCTACCGAGAGAAATTATGGTATAGGTGACCGTGAACTGCTTGCAGTCAAGCTAGCCTTGGAGGAATGGCGCCAAGAAAGTACTGACTGATCATAACAATCCAGAATATCTTCATACTGTCAAAAGACTCGATGCTCGTCAAGCTAGATGGTCCCTATCCTTTTCATGCTTTCAGTTCAACATAACCTATCAACCAGGTTCTCATAACACCAAGGTGGATGCTTTGTCCAGAATGAATTAAAAGGAAACTCCCACACCACAGACCAAGACCCCTGAATGCATCCTTCCACCTGAGGTAACCATATCCTCTATTAGATGAGACATAGATGAACACATAGAAAAGGCCAGAAACGTTACGGCTTATAACTTGGGCCCATTCCTCTTTAACCTCAGGCCATCCAGGAGAAACCCGAACATACAAGCTTCTAGCCTATCGATACTGGTGGGAATCCATGATCAAAGATATCCATTCCTTTGTGTCCTCATGCTCGACGTATTCCCAGTGTAAGACCCCAAAGACATTACCTGCTGGAAAGTTAATGCCCTTACCCATACCCAACAGACCCTGATCCCACATAGCCATTGACTTTGTCAACGATTTACCTCGCAAGGGTTCACTACCGTTCTGATGGTTATCAACAGATTTTCTAGGAGAATTTGATTTATACCTTTCATGACCGTTCCTAGTGCTTTTCAGATGGACAAAACCTTATTCCAATATGTATTCTGAATTTTCAGCATTCCGGAGAACATCATGTCGGACAGGGGACCTCAATTCACATCCCAGGTAGAGGCCGCCTTTTTCGAACACATCGGGGTATCCATTAGTCTCTCATCAGTGTATCATCCACAATCTAATGGACAGTGTAAGAGAGTAAATCATCATCATTATCATCATTGTTAACCGCTTAGTCCAGATAGGGTCGCGGTAGCAGTTGGGAGAGCAGAGAATCCCAGATGACCCTGTCCCCCGCAACTTCCTCCAGCTCATTCCCGGGGACCCCAAGCCGCTCCCAGGCCAACTTGGAGATATAATCCCTCCAGCGGGTCCTAGGACGACCCCGGGGTCTTATTCCGGTAGGCCGTGCCTGGTACACCCCCATCCGGATCAGATGCCCGAACCACCTCAGCTGGCTCCTCTCAATGCGGAGGAGTAGCGGCTCTACTCCGAGCTCCTCCCGGATGGCCGAGCTCCTCACCCTATCAAATAGAGTGTAGCCCGCCACCCTGCGAAGAAAGCTCATTTCTGCCGCTTGTATTCGCGATCTCATTCTTTCGGTCATTACCCACAGCTCATGACCATAGGTGAGGGTCAGGATGTAGACCGATCGGTAAACAGAGAGCTTCGCCTTATGGCTCAGCTCCCTCTTCACCACTACAGTCCGGTACAGCGACCGCATTACTGCTGCCGCCTGTCCCAGCCTGCGGTCAATCTCACGATCCCTCTTCCCATCACTCGTGAACAAGACCCCGAGATACTTAAACTTCTCCACCTGGGGCAAGTCCTTTCCTCTTACCTGGAGTGGGTAAATCAGGAACTGGGAAAATTTTGACTGTTTTGTCATGATAATCCGTCTAATTGGTCAAAGTTTTTGCTATGGGCCGAGATCACACAAAACTCCTTGACTAATTCTGCCACGGGAATGACCCCTTTCCAGTGTATTTTAGGTTACCAACCCCCTTTAGCACCCTGGGCGGGCTCTCAAACAGACGTTCTTGCCATGGATACGTGGATGACACGCAGTGAACAACTATGGGAGGAGATGCATCAGCACCTTGAGACCATCCTACATTGCCAGAAAGAACAGGCAGAACGACACAGAAGTCAAGCCCCAGCATTTCGGCCCAGAGATCGAGTGCGGTTGGCCACAAAAGACTTTTGTCGTTCTGAGAGAAGTTGTAGAAAGCTTCAGCCCAAATATACTGACCCGTTCAAAATTGTAAAACGGATTAATGATGTGACTTACAGATTAGACTTTGCATCTGTTACTGGTGGTGAGTTCAGGCTGATCCAGGACATCTTCTGTGACAATGGCATTACCAGACTCCACTGTCCTCAGGTGGGGGTGAACATGAGAGTCCCCGGTGTAACTGGCTTGTCTGGCCTGGTTCAGGTGACCTCTGGTCAGGGATGGGGGAGTAGCTAAGTAGCACGCTACTTTTTGTAGTTAGCTTCAAATATTTGTAGCTAGTAGCTGTAGCCACTACAGTTTTATGAAATGTAGCTAACAGCTGTAGAGCATACAAAATTTTTTGTAGCTATAGTGAAACTTTCTGCTGCAATTTTGTTACAGGCTTCAGTCAGTCCGCACAAAATATGAACCATAGAATGTGATGATTAACTAGGCTGGTGGCAATTGTACAATCCTGACTGAGCTGTGGATAGTTCAAGCAAACGGGCACACACTGATCACCCCTTACTAGGCTTAACTCAGGGGTCGTCAATCCAAATGTTAAGAAGAGCCATTTTGTCTTTTCAACCTAAGTCAAACCACCTTGGGAGGCACAACATTTTATGTCTGTTTTACTGTCTTGGCTGTAATTATATCTCAGTATGTGCTATAGTACAGGCTAAAAAACACAAACTCAGACTTACTTTGCTCTGCTTTAACCTTTAGCTCAGCTGTAGCCACTTTTCTCTCATCTCAGGAAATTTTTCCATGAGTTTCTTGTAAAATGTCTGTCAATGTTCGACTTTTTATGAAGCTGACGTCACTTCTCTTTCCTGGGCTTCTTGTGCAATTTGTCCTGTTCCACCTTAAATGGTGCCTGAGGCGCCAGATTGTACTGCTACGCCATTTAAGGTGGAACAGGACAATAGGCTCTATGCACGCTTTTTTCCGCATTCCGAATCAGCCAGCTGTTTCACTTCTGGCGCTAATATCCAGCACATTAGCTAAGGCATTTTTCACTTGGTTGTTTCAAGACTTACCCAGATGTTGGTCGCATTGTGCCAAACACCAGCAACTAAGAAGGAGAAGAGTTTCAAAGTATTTGTTTGAAGCTACATCAACATTTAGGAAGGTAAGATCTGACTGTGTAATCATAGCCTTTACAATGTTTGTGTACAAGCAAATGCTAGCGTAGCAATGCTGCTAACATTCTGTGTCTTTGTGTCAATTTTCCTAACGTCATTGTCGATCTCAATTTCAGACAAGGATTCAAAGACAGGAGAGATAACCATTAGGGCTGAGAGTTATAGATCAATGAGCATAAGGGAAAGTTATAGTGCTGGTTCAGTGCAGGCTGGTTCCTGAGACAGGGTCCTGTGTTTCTGTGAATCATATCAATGCTGTGAATCCAATACTGCAAAAGGCTACTTTAGTTCGTATTTCATATGATATCCTATGAATAATACTAGTGTGTAAAAATCTGTAAAAACAATGGGATTCACAGAAACTAAATTGGGTTGTCACTTCTTTTCCATTGTATTGTTGTGCTCCTTGTTATTTTAAATGAGTGAAGTGAGATTAATAATGATTTGGCAACAATTTTATCCTTTATACATTTAGTGCATATGAACTGTTCTTTGTTTCATATTTTTTTCAGACCCTATCACTGTACATGTGTTCTCTTTTATAATAAAAGCTGTTTGAAGTAACTGAGCTAACAGAACTAACTGAACTAGGGAAAGTTATGCTGCAGCTTCAGGGCAGGCTGGTTCATGAGACAGGTTCCTATTCTTCAAATCAAATTTCTGTGAATCATATCAATGCTGTGAATCTAATGCTGCTAACCCTGTAGACATTCTCCTTTATAACAAAAGTTCACTCATGTATCATTTAGAAATAACATTTTATTGTTTAACTGCATGTGCAGCACTTACAGTATGTATTGTAACAGATTTGTGTATTCCCATCCTGTGCAGCTACAAAGCTGCCAGTGTACCTGTGTGGCAGGTACAGCTTTGTACAACCATGTGGCAGCACTTTTGTACCAGATGGCACATTATTCTGACCTGAAGCCCACCTCTGTTCCCCCCAAAACTGACCTTTTTTTTATTGTTATCTCTACTTTCCTCGATAAATAGATTGAAAATTTACTTGAAAGTAAGCTTAATTAATTGTAAAAAGTGACAAATTCCATTTACTGTTTATCGTAAATAGTAATAATTAAAATATTTTATCATTTCATTCATTTATTAGAGCTCAGTAAGTTACAGCTGTTACATCAATGAAATTTGCTGTTACGCATTGCATTTCATAATTGTAAACGTGCCTTGAGTTTTTGTAAAAAAACGCAGCAACAGTATGAATAGCGGAAGTATTGTAGCTGGCTGAGATTTTCCCGGAATTACGTCAGCACTCTGTGTGCATATAGCCTATTCCAATGAGAAGCTGGAGAATGAGAAGCTGACTTCAGCCTTTCTACTTGTTGCAGGTTAAACGTATCAGGAAACCAGCTGGAGTGATTATAAATGCAAATTCATCTCCAAATGATCGATATTCATTTTAAATCTCTCTCTTTGTCGTTTCGTTATCTGTGTTGCTGTGTCCAGCAGTCTGCACGTCAGTCTTCAGTGTTAAAGGGTATATTAGCAGTTATACATTAACTCCAGCGTTTAAGACCATTTATTGTGAAAACTGTGTTAGAACTGTGTTATAATGATTTAACAGCAAAGGAGGATTATGTTATTTTACCTAAAAATCTAGTTCTGCCGTGGAGCCACAGCAGCTCTGCAGCAGTGGAGAGATTATTCAGGCCTGATTCTCACCCCAAACAGAGCCAGAGTCACCAATGAAAGTTTTGAGGCTAAAGTGTTGCTGAAGTTTAATAAAGACTCTGAATGTCTGTATCTTGCTGAAATGTTAAAATTGGAGCAGTTTTATTTCAACAGTTGACAACGATTTGCACAGAAATGTTTGGTTTGTATCCGATTAATTTTGTTGATTTTTAGCTTTAATCTAAATTTTTGTTAGATATCACACATTTGGTTGTGTAAATTTGACTGCTGCTTACATTTAAACTTACCTTTTGGTGTTTTTGCATATTTGCAGCTTTTCAATTGTATGTTTCTTTCTGGTACATGATTAAATGCAGTCTTGTCTCAGGTAGAGATTCACAAACATTCTGACAGTCACACTTTGAAAGTAGCTAAAAAGTAGTGCACTACTTTTCAAAAAGTAGATAAAAAGTAGCCACTACTTTTTCTGGAAAAGTAGCTAAATTGTAGCTGCTGCAAATTTTGGGAAAGTAGCTACAAATTAGCTAACTATTAATTTTTCAATAGCTATTCCAACCCTGCCTGTGTTTGGCGTGGAAGTTGCCCAGACACCGGTGGCCCCATTGATTAGTGCACCGCATTTCCCATGACCCTCCTCAGGTCTGGGTAAGATGGCTGCTCCAGCTACATGGGAAGCCTCATGAGCTGCCTTGAGGCAAGTTTTTTGAGTGTAGAGTTGAGTCTGATGGTCCAGTAGTGCCTTAATCTCAGCCTCCAACAATTCCAGTCCTTTACTGAGCGTCTCAATTTCCCAGTCTTCCTGAAATATTAACTAAAAAGAACAATAAAATAAAATAGTTACAGCTAACTAGTCTAGCAGTGTGATTTAGAATTGACTCGCGTAGCAATGTGATTTAGAGCTAACTAGCCTAGCAGTCTGATTTAGATTTAACTAGCTTAGCAGTGGGATTTATAGCCAACTAGCCTAGCAATGTAATTTAGCACTAACTAGGCTAGCAGTGTGATTTAGAGCTAAACAGCCTAGCAGTGTGATGTAGACCTGATTAGCCTAGCAGTGTGATTTAGAACTGACTAACCTAGCAGTGTGATTTTGAGCTAACTAGTCTAGGAGTGTGATTTAGATCTAATTAGCCTAGCAGTTTAATTTATAGGTAACTTGCCTAGCAATGTGATTCCGGGCTAACTAGGCTAGAAGTGTGATTTAGAGCTAACTAGCCTAGGTGTGTGATTTAGGGTTCACTAGCCTAGCACTCTGATTTAAAGCTAACTAGCCTAGCACTGTGATTTACAGCTGTGTAGCCTAGCAATTTCATTTTGAGCTAACAAGCCTTGCAGGTTGATTTAGAGCTATGTAGCATAGTAGTATAAATTAGTTAACTAGCCTAGCAAATGTGATTTATAGCTATCTTGCCTAACAATGTGATTTACAGCTGTGTAGCCTGGCACTGTGATTTACCGCTATATAGTCTAGCATTTTGATTTAGAGCTATGTAGCCAGGTGGTTTGATTTAGAGCTGACTAGCATAGCAGTGTGATTTAGAGCTAATTAGCCTATCAGTTTGATTTATAGCTAACTAACCTAGCAACGTGATTTAGAGCTAACTAACCTAGCAGTTTAAATAAGAGCTATGTAGCATAGCTGTGTGATTTAGAGCCAAGTAGCCTAGCAATTTGATTTATAGCTAACTAGCTTAGCAAAGTGATTTAGAGGTCACTAGCCTAGCAGTGTGATTTAGAGCTAACTAGCCTAGCAGTCTGATTTAGAGCTGTGTAGCCTAAAAATTTGATTTTGAGCTAACGAGCCTTGCAGATTGATTTAGAGCCATATAGAATGGCAGTGTATGTTAGAGTTAATTAGACTAGCAGTGTAATATAGAGCTTATTAGCATATCACCCATTGTAGAACTGACTGTGTTTTTCCTCTCTTTCCTTTGCCGAGTTGAACAGCTGCCTATCCTGCTGCTGATGCTGCTGCCTCTGCTGCCTTGATCGGGTGCCACTGCTCACCGTGCAAACCTCACCCCCACAACCTGACCCCACTAATGCTGCTGCTGCTGCCGCTGCTGCTGCTGCCGCTGCTGCTGCTGCAGCATGAACTGAACTATTCAAATTAATTGTTTCCTTCACCTTTACCCTGTTTTTGTACTATAATACTTTATACTAACAATGTTTACTATCCGGTGTCGACCAGAGGAGGATGGGTTCCCCTTCTGAGTCCTGGTTCCTCTCAAGGTTTCCTCCTGTTTCTTAGGGAGTTTTTCCTTGCCACTGTCGCCACTGGCTTGCTCATGGGGGCTCGGACCCGGATTTCTTTTTGTAATGCTCATTTCCTTGTAAAGCTGCTTTGTGACAACACCTGTTGTAAAAAGCGCTATATAAATAAACTTTACTTACTTACTTACTTACATATCAGTTTTATTCACAAGAAGCTAGCCTAGCTATGTGATTAAAAGCTAACTATCCTAGCAGTGTGATTTAGAGCTAACTAGCCTAGCTGGGTGATTTAGAGCTATGTAGCCTACCATTGTGATTTAGAGCTAATTAGCCTAGCAAACTAGTAGACTGTGGTGGATCTGTATTTATCTCTGGACCAATTCCATCACTGACTTGGACCAATTCCATCACTGGGAATAGGTTCAGGACGTATTAGCAGCATTTTAAACTTTCACACCTGGCTCCAAAAACCTGCCTCTGCAAAGACTTGACTTTTATTGACAATTTTAACCTTTTCTGGAACTGTCCTTCTTTTTACAGAGTTGATGGGATTCATCCCAGTAGGCTTGGTTCACAGATTTTAGGCCACAATATATTTTACTCTAATTTAAACTCCAGATGAGTATTGTAAACCTCAAACTCAAGTATTTCTGTAGTTTTGGGTAGAAGACCCAGGACCAGCTCTTCATCAAAAAGAAATAACAGACAAGCGAAAGATTTTAATGGTTTTATTAATCCAGACAATCTGATTTTTATTGATCCAACTCAGATTACCTTACACTCACAAGAAAACCCTGCAGTAAATGCTGTAACAGATCTTGAGAGTTTTAAAAACAGAAAAGGTTTAGGCATAATTCATCTTAACGTTAGAAGCCAACTTCAGAGGGATAAAATGGATCAACTTAAAGTCCTGACTGCACAATCTGATCCGGATATTTTAATACTAACAGAGACCTGGCTTAGAAAATCTGTAAGTGATGAAGACGTGACTTTAAATGCTTTTAACCTTTATAGAATAGACAGAGTACAGGCCTTCCTCTGCTCTGTCTTCTGCTCTTGATGAAATAGCCACTCTTTTATCACAGAATACCACTTCTGAAATGCTGGTCCTGGGAGATTTTAATCTTAATTGGCTTTTTAATGCATCCAGTTACTTAAAGGAAATATGTGGAAATCTTACCCTCACACTACTAACCATGGAATCAACACACCCAAATCTGAAGGATCCCACCAAATATACCCTGCTAGACTTAATTCTATCCAATAAAATGGCCAGAATTACTGCCTCAGCAGTGACCACTGCCCCATTGGATGCATTAGAAACAGTTACAAGAACAAAACAGGCTCTTGGATGGTGGTTAGAAGAAATTTTAAACATTTTAATGAACAAGCTTTTCTATCTGACTTAGCAATGAGTGAAATCCACCTTACACTAAAATTTCCAGATGTTGACTTGGCATTAAACTACTTTAGCAAATCATTTCTAATGGTAGTAAACAAAGATACCCCCCACAAAAATGCAAAGAATAAGAGACAGATCAAGTCCCTAATTCACTAGTGAAGTTTCCTCATTATTTGAAGCCAGAAATAAAGCCTGGATCTACTGCAAGATGCACGGGGGAGAGAGACCATTGGCTTATGTTCAGACAACTGAGAAATAGATGTACTGCTGCAGTTAGAAAGGTCAAATCAGATTATTTTCTCAAGCTGATTACCAGCTCTCCAAACCGTAAAATCCCTGCCACGGTGGGTAGCACTGTCACCTCACAGCAAGAAGGGCCTGGGTTTGATTCCCCAGCCGGGCGACCAGGGTCCTTTCTGTGTGGGGTTTGCATGTTCTCCCTGTGTCTGCATGGGTTTCCTCTAGGTACTCCGGTTTCCTCCCACAGTCAAAAGACATGCAGTCAGACCAATTGGACATGGTAAATTGCCCCTAGGTGTGAGTGAATGTGTATGTCTTTCTGTTCAACCCTGTGATGGACTGGCAACCTGTCCAGGGTGTATCCTGCCTTCCACCCGATGACAGCTGGGATAGGCTCCAGCACCCCTGCGACCCAGAAGGAGAAGCGGCTTAGAAGATGTGTGTGTGTAAAATCCCTTAAAAACAATTCCTCTACCCTTCCAACCAGCATTATAGTTGATGATCAGCTGATATCTGATCAGAAGGAAATCTGTAGAGCTTTTAACACACATTTTGCTGCAGCTGGGCACATTTTTGAAAATACTGACTTGAATCTGCTGTTAGTTAAAACTGACAACAACTCTATTGCTACCCAGAGCCATGGTCTCTTCACACTTAAGCCCTTCTCTCCAATCATAATAGCTAAATCTCTTACTACTATTAATCCATGGTTAAGATGGGCTGGAACCTTACTTCCTGCTTCTAGCAGCCCCAATTATTTTAGAATACATAACATATTTTTAATCTCTCTGTTTTATCATGCAGAATTCCCAGGATCTGGAAAATAGCTCATGTAACTCCACTGCATAAAGGATGTGAGGCAGCAGATGTAAATAGCTACAGAC